CACAGAGGTCATCTTCCCCTCATTGCTAATCCTTGATTTGATCCCAGCACATCACACACTCCTTTCTATCCCCCTGTTCTCCTCCCCCTTTCATGTACCCTCTCTCACACACAAAAAAAAACATTAATTCACCTGTAGCCAGTGTCACCAGGTTCTGTCCATAATACATTTATCACCTTCTTATACTTTTTCCAGATTTCTGACTTTACTCCTATCTCCTTGTGTATATTCAGAAAACAAGTCTCATACCAGTCCTGCTGTTGTCATTACTCTATTACTACTGCTCTCCTTACTTCCTGCATCTGTTTATTCCTTCTGTATTTCTGCTGCTTGGGATGTTCTGGTTTTCTTCCAGAATGTTTCAAACTCTTCTTCATTATTGAACGTTCATCTTTTCTCCTGTTTGGTTAAGCTCAGATCAGCAGAGTAGATCATCCTGTGCTATTGCTCTTTGGAACACATCATTCCATTCCCTATATGTTTTTTACTGGGAATAGAATTGCATTATTTAAATGTCTTTTGCTTTGTATTTGAAGGTTTTTCTCCTGATCACTTGCCAAACTTGTAGTTTCTGTTAAATTTAAGCACTATCTATTTCTTTTCCAATACCATACAGTTTATATTTTTGCTTATTTGTATGTTTCGGTTGTTTAAAAAAATGTTTATTGGTCTTTTGTTGTTACATGACTTTATTTCCTAGTATATCTCCTTCATTCCTCTTCCATTGAGCCATTCATTATAACAAAGGGTAAAAAAGTAGGGGGAAAAGAGCCATTCAGTAAAACTAATCAACATACCAATGAAGCTCAACAGTATATACAGTATATAGTATCCCATCTACAAAAAGGGGAGGGAGTTACATTTTCATATCTTTTCTTTAGGGCCAAGCTGGGTCATGCCCATTTGGTTTTCTATACAATATGCTAGAATTTTTTATCAATATTATAATAAATGAGGCAATTACGACATCATGGATAGAGGCAGGAAAACCTGGATTCTAGTCCTGCCTCTGACAGAAACTGGCTGTGTTACAATAGAAAAAAAAATTTCCTAATGCCCAAATGTACAAAACTATTTGTAGTAATAAATTTTGTTGCTGAAAAAAACTGGAAATAAAGCGAATAGCAGCATAAATTGTGATATGTGAATTAACAGAATATTATTGATGTGTAAGAAATGGTCAACATCAATGATTCAGAGAAACCTGAGAAGACTTGAATGAACTGATACAGAGTGAAATGAACAGAACCAGGAGAATAATTTGCATAATGATCACAATGATGCAAAAGAAAACAACTCTGAAAAACATCAGAACTCTGATTTATACAATTACCAACTTTAGAAGGCTGATGATGAAGCATATCCTAGGTATTAGTCTTAAAGACAAGGAATAAGACATAGATTTTCAGACATGGCCAATGCATTGACTTGTTTTGCTTGTTTGCATATTTGTTACAATGGAGGAGGGTTTTATTTGGGAGAAGGTGATTCAGTGGGTATCAAGAGATGCAAAAAAAAAAAACAAAGAAAAGAGCATCAACGAAATATTTTAAAATTTATGCAGAAGAGAACAAAGGCTTAGAAGGGGATGCTATTTTGTTACTAACAGGCAGGGCAATTTAAACAGGATAATCTTGTTAAACAGAATAAAATTATTAAACTGAACACATATTTTAAAAAATGAACTGTAAACATTGTTGTTTCACAGACTGATTCACAATCTTTTTTTATATATTGAAATATCTTTGTTGATTGTTAACTTCGTAGTAAAAAAAGAAAAACAAAAGAAAAACCATCTAATTTCTCCAAATTTGCAGTGGAGAAAGATTCTAAAAAGAGTTCACTATACTGACAACAGATACAGTCATAATTTTTTTTTCCTGCCCTGCCATCTCCCTCGCATCCCCCGCAGTTCTCCTCTTCAAGTAACATTATGTAAATCTCTGGATTACACTAATTTTTAATACATTAATTTAATCACTGCATCTGTTTTTAGTGGGAATGCTTTTAACTGTGGCTCCTGTTGTAGATAGATACTTTTTATAATGTTAAAAATGAAGCTATTCCTATTTGTATTTTTGAAAATCATGAATACTAGATTTGGCAAAAGCTTTTAATCTACAGACATAACTGCAGTTCAGCATCTGTAGAGAATATGAAATGGTAGAGAGAAATTCTATCAAGAACTTGCTAAGACCTTCCAAATTCAATCAACTTTTCTTTTGATGACTTTAATGCACAGGTAAAAATTGGGAAGCATGGCCAAAAAAAAACCTCTTGAAAATATAGAAAAGAAAGAGGCCAATAGTTTACAATCCACACAGAAAAATTACAATTGCACAGGATTAATTTTTCTTCAAGAAATCTCAGCAATCAACTGGCCCTGCTCAGCAAGGCCTTCCTTATAGGTAAGGGCAAAGCTGGGGGCTTTCCTTTCCTGAAGTTTACTGAGCCTGTAGGTGGATTATACTGAGTCCTGTGTTTTGCTTCCTGTGCCCTAAATTATGAGTCTAAATGGTTCAAACCTCCTCCTCTTCAGCAACAAAACAAAATCAAAGGATTTATCTGGCTTGCAGGGTCTTACAAGTTGATGGGACAGTAGTGAAAGAGAGACGGTATTAATTGAGAGTCTCTACCTCACACATTCCTGTTTGCAAAAATTTAAGTAATGTACCCCAGCCAGTAGAGCCACTTTCCAGTGCTACTGTGATATGTATTAATTAAATAAATGTCAAGTGCTAAAAAATAATTTTTTTTCCTTCAAGCAAAGTTAGAAAGTGCTAGTCAAATACCAGGCATCACAAAAAATGAAATGGTATCCTAACAGACAAATGATTACTAATTTGGGAGTCATTTCCCAAATTACTGTCCAAATACTGTCACATGGCTGACGATTGTTAGAGCAAAGATCAAATTGAATACCAAATTAGAAGAATAAAATGAGGAAATACAGTATACTACTAAAACATCTGAAGCCAAAATAGAAAATGGATTAAAAAAGACACAGACACAGATTATCACCATTTCCTAAGGAAGCTTACTTAACTGCTGGAAATCAACACTAGAACAAGGGAAGGGGAAGAGCAAAGAAACCACCTCAGTCAGCCAGTACTTGATTCCTTGCCAACTGCATAGAGATAGAAACTAAGGGCTATGCCAGTTTAAAGTTAAAACTCATTTGCAAAACCTTGCGAATAAGGATGGTGAAAGTATTATCCACAAAATAATGGAAAGCAATAGAGGTAAAAATAAGTTTACAGAAAGCTTGGCAAGAAAGCTGTTCAAATTACATCATGCCAAGAAAATTTAAGGTTGAAACAATAAAGACAATGAACATGAAAATATCTGTCAAGATAAATTCACACCTTTTTTTCCATCAATAACAATGAAACCACTCTACCTGGCTCTTTTCAACTTGAAGAAATAGAAATGACACTAAAGAAAATAAAGATGAGAAGAGCAGCTAGACAAGACCAAGTATACAATGAGTGCCATGCTAAAAGCAACAAAAATTTTAAGTTATTAAAAGATCCAATCTCAAAATAACTAAAAGAGAGGATACCAAACACTCGGAAAAATTTGTAGAAGTTATAAAGGCAACTGAGAAAATATCAGTTACTACCTATCCACTCATGACTACTTTCCCTAAAAATCCTTTATGAAAATTATATATATATGTGTGTGCATATATATATACATATATGTGGTATTAATGATGAAGGCAGAATAAGTGAAAGCAACAGGCCTTCACAAACATTTTCTAGAGTAGATTCAATATTTATAGTCACATAACTAAAAAAGTTTCAGAGGATACAAGATCAAGATCTCACTTTTTATCATTTGTTGATTAGAAAAAAAATTCCAAAAGACTTAAGAACTCTGATGAATGCAATGACCAATCACAATTACAGTGCACCTGATAGATGAGGTTCTCAATAAGACATACATTCTCAAATATGGGAATTTGTTGACTATGCAACTAACCTTATTACAAAGATTAGTATTATTACAAAGATTATTACAAAGATTTTTGTTTGTTTGTTTGCTTTAATTCAATTGGGGAGTGTACGTTTTGGGCTAGGCCTGACTTCTGGGCTTGGCCTGACTAAAGACAGTCCCTTAATAGTCTATGTTCAATATTGGAGTGAAATGAGAACTCAGAGGACAGTTAACCATTAACAAAAGAAGATTTACTAAGCCTTAGCAGGGGAAGGCTATTCAACAAAAATATTTATCAAGGATATTGTAAGTTGACCCAACTGAGTGAAGCTTCCCTACCTCTGGGTTGCCCATAATGGCCCATCAGCCAAGCATCCTGGAGCTCCTTGTTGCTTCTGTTTTGTACTAAGGAAGTGATGTCAATAGACTGAGCTTTTAGTCCCCTGAGTCATTCAAGTTTCCTAGATCATTTCAATATTTATTAAGAGAAAATTAGTCTAATTTGCAGGGAGAGGGAATGGCGGGAAGGAGAGAATATTGCTCTCACCACAGGAAAGCTAGTATGAGGGTTAACAAAAAGCAAAACAAAAGGAAGGCCAGAGGGAAAAACAGCAGAACAGTTATGAAAGTTAAATGCTTAATTTATTATATACTTAAAAGGAAAAGCAAGTTGTACATAACAGAGGTTCACAGTTTCACATACAATCCTCTTTTTATTTACTTCGTATGTGAAAACATTAATTTTGGTGTTTGAGTTCAGAATAAGAAAAACTTTTAAAGAAAGAAAAAAATCCAGGTTAAATTTTTTAATCTTTAAAAAAATGTTTAATTCTTAGCCATTCTAAAGTAAAGCATCACTATATAACACATTAGTTTTTACACTAATCAGGTCCTTGAATGTAAAGCAAATATACCTGTCATTTTTTTTTCAGCACTTGACAAATAAAAGATAACATAATAAATTTTGCATTTAAAAGTTTACAAGAAAAGTAGCTTTGTCCATACGAATCTAATAGCCAGAGGTGACCAATTAAACTGAGACAACCTTCCATGTCACTTACCTGAGGGAGGTATCCACAGCAGGTCACCACATGAAACCCAAATTGGTCCACAAACTGAAGTTCTGCCTGCCCTCCTCCTTTCCCTTTGCAAGCAAAAGAACAAAAACCACCAGTTACTTTCCTCAGAGAGGCCCTGGCTCCCACTCATGGGAATAAACAGCTTCCAGTCTTTAGTCACTTTCAGAAATGATTAGAATGTCTTCTTCTTCACCTTGTTTTCTTATCTACAGATAAATAATTGGTGTTTCAACCAACACCAACAATTAGTGGGAATTTCACCAAGAGAACATCAGGAAAGTAATCCTGGTTCCAAAAGGAGTAACTCAAAGTATCATTTGCTGATGATAGCAGAAGAGGAAGTTCAGGAGGATGGAAAAAGAGAAAGGAAGTCAATTCTTTAAGGAACTAAAATTCCTAACAACATTAAAAAAAAAAATACATTTGCTGATGACCAACTCAGGATACTTACTTCTGAGAGAGCCAAGATTATGTACTTCAATCACAACTTCAAGTGCCTTAGAACTTGTAGTTAAACAAATCTTTAAGGACAGAAATACAGTACAGGCAGAGCAAAAGGTATAAGGATTAATGACATCTGTGTCTGGCCTTTTAGAACATACTCTTTAGTATTATGCACAGTCAAGGAATGAAGTATTTTGATTAATCAGATATTCTGCTTAACAGACAATTATACTATATGGTTTACTCAATTCAATCTCAAATTTCAAAGTATAGAATCATATGAAAATACATCATAAATTTATACCAATGGAAATAAAAAACTAAATTATTAACGTACTTCAGAATCTTGCTTCATAAAGGATCACCATTATGAACTTCATTCACCACTGTATTATGGTAATAATAACGAATGTATAAAGCTTTATTTTATGGCTTATAAAGCTTTTTTAGAATTGAAGAAGTACTAATTAATAGAGATTCCCCAACTGATGTAATACCAAAATGAATTTGCATTATGCTCACTTCTAGAAATTATAGATTATCTTAGATAACCTTAGAACTAACTAAGGTTAGTTGTGGGTCCACAGACTTTCAAGAGGTCCCTGTATAAATTTCAGTGAGTCTGTGAATTTGGACAGGAAAAAATTACATCTTAATTTAAAATAACCTCTAACTGAAATTTAGATTTCCTTCAATTATGAACATACGCAACAAATATTAATCTAAGAAGAGATCCATAGGTTTTACCAGATTACCAAATGGGTCCATGATACAAAAAAATGTTTAGAACCTCTGCCTTAGGCATTCCCTCAATTCAGTCATTAAGCAAACATTTATTAAATGCGCACATGTTTGTGGCAAATAAGTTTATACAACTCATTCCTAAAAGCAATCTACATACCAGCTCTATTTGGCATTCTTTGGCTCTTACGACCTCACTTTGTCCAAACTGGCTGCTTTTCAAAATTCAGTATAAATCCCAACTTTTGCTAAATGGTTCTACTGCTTGAGTTATTCTTACAGTATATATGTATGTGTATATATGTGTGTATATACATATTTAAACCATTGTACCATACCAACAGTTGTTTCTTCCTTCCTGAGAGTCTCACCAAGCTTCTTGTTATGAAGGTGCAGATTGGCTAACTGCGATCCAAGCTTTGCAGCATGACTACAAAATCAAAAGAAATCAATTTTTCTACCAATAAAAGATGAAAGAGATAATACCAAAGTTACCAAAAAAAAAATCTGCCCTTAAAATCTTAAGGCACAATACATAAACATGGCATAATTAAGTATGAGGCTAACACAGAATTTTAAAACCAATTTAGTGAAAGACCATAATTTTTTGATATTTCTATTCCCCTTCTGAGGTTCTAAGCCCTGATCATCCTCAAAAATTTTACCCTGAGGGGGCAGCTAGGTGGCACAATGGATAGAATACCACCTCTAGAGTCAGGAGGATCTGAGTTCCAATCCTGCCTCAGATACTTGACACTTAACTAGCTGTGTGATCCTGGAAGGTCACTTAACCCCAATTGCCTTGCCCAAAAAAAAACCCAACAAATTTACCTTGAAATATTCCTTTCTGTTTACCTTTTAGTAAGTATTCCACAGAATATGATGGTAAAGTACTAAAGGTACTACTATACATTCTGTAGGAAAGCACACTGTGCTGTGGTGCCATGTCTTTTTAATATAGTATTCATCAAAACCATCTCCTCAGAGTACAAAAAGATTGAGGAATAAACAAGCCACTACAAGGAAGAATTATGCAAACTTTAGGAGAAAATTTGTCCAAGACTTACCTGTTTAAATATCTCATGTCCAAATGCTCCATCACTAGTAGATTCCCACCCCCTGGCACATCTATCACTTTCATAGGTTTGGGTACTTTCACTGTGTTTGTTTGCAGGATAGCAAATAAACTTGCCATTTCACCTTCAAACATTTTTTTGGCCTGTCAGGAAAGTAATGAGGAGAAGAAATAAGAAAGGTCAATACTGGGAGAAAAAAAAACCAAAAACTAATGAACTCTGATATATGAGACAATTTCTAGGAAAAGAACATTTCAAACCAAAAATTTCTTGATCAAAATTGAACTGATAAAAACAACTTGTCCCCAAATAAACCTTCAAATACAGTAGAATTAAGAATTACGCTTGTGTATGGGATCCAAATGTCAAACAATTTAAACAAAATAGGCTATTTTTATGGCATAGTTACATCCAAAGAGGCTAATAACACTTTAAAAATTCTCTAATGGAGCAGCTAGGTGGCGCAGTGGATAGAGCACTGGCCCTGAAGTCCGGAAGCCCAGAGTTCAAATTCGGCCTCAGACCAAACACTTGACACGTACTAGCTGTGTGACCCTGGGCAAGTCACTTAACCCCAATTGCCCCCAAAAAAAAAGAAAAGAAAAAAATCTCTAGATGTTCTAAGTCCACATCAGAAAAGTAAGCCAGATAGAATTGCCATTTACAATTTCAAGGTGCTCATGTGATTATGTAGCATAGTCTAAACTCTTTTTATTATAACAATGCTATTTATGTACTGAAGGAGGAAGAGGAAAAACTAAAACAGAAATCTAACAAAAACAAAACAATGTTAAGTTCCCTGAAAGCAGCTGAATCAGGGAGTACTGAGTTCCCAATCTAAACAATCGGGTCTTTGTGGTAGGTGATGCCAAATCTTTGTAGTTCATAATGTAAAAAATTAGAAACACCAGCAAAAATAATGACACTTCCAGCATATTCACTAATCCTCATCACATGTCAGAGAGAATTGCCTTGTACTATCACTTGCTTAGCATTTACTGGAAAACCAGCAAGGACCTTCTCCTCCCTAAGAGCCCCATTAGGGCAGGGAGTAGAATATACATTTTTTGCCTAATGAGAGCCAACAATGCTACCCTATGGTCCTCCAACAGCTCCACGGGGAGAGGTTGTACAACGATCACTGAGTGTGTTATATTGCCAACACAGAGTCTAATCAGCTTCACATTATAGTACGCAATGAGCTACGGCAGACCTGCCTTTTGTCACTGCAGATGCCAGTGCCCACTCTTTTCCCTTTGGATAGCTACTTATGCTGGGAGCCAATGCAATGAGGTCTGCTACTACTAGAACCTGAGTCTCTTTCCACTGCTGTCTGCCCTCGGGGTCCACTGGCCAGCATGGCTGCTATTTATTCTGCCAGGATGAACTACTTTACCTCCTGTGCTAGAGCAGGACAACTACAACTACTAGGGCCTAAGCTATTCTGCCCCATGTTGAACAGTATTGCTGTAGTTCTGAGCACTATTGTACTACCATTGCTGGGGCCTGACTCCAGTCCAATATGGCAGGCCTGACTGTGCTCTTGTATGGAGAAGGTTGCTGAGGGTCTACACTGTCACTGCCCACCCAGTCCACACCAGGAACTCTGTAGGTGCTGCTACTGCTGGAGGAGAGATGCAAAACAACACAAAAAACAAAGCAGCAAGAGACTCACCTCAGCTAGTACATGTCCTTTATTTCCCATGTGCAAGCAATATCATTTCTGGGTTGTGGAAATTTTCCTGGGCCTTGAGTTCTAGCTATTCAGGGGGTTCTCAATGAAGCTCTTGGGAAAGAATTCAAAGTTCAGGGGAAAGAGTGTGAACTTTTAAAACTGATGCAGCACCTATGTTCTTGGGTAATTAAATGAAGGGCAATCGGCACATTTATCTATATCCCTAATTCCTGAAATGTCTCTGAGATCCTGGAATTTATCACTGTCCTTTCAAATGCCTCCCCTAACTGCCTTGCATCAAAGGATCAAAACAAAATTCTCAAGGCAAAATTGAGGGTGATCTCTCAAATTCCAAATTAACAAAATAAAAATTCAAATAGTTTCTTCAGCACAATTCTAAAATTCCATGGATCTGCCTTAGTTTGCATTATTTCATTATTAGGGTCCTTCATATCACCCTTCAATGGCTTGGCTATGTCCGTATAGCATAGGATTGGGTTATGCTGGTTCAGATTGCACTGTCATTTCCAAAACAGCCATTCAAAACCAAACAGTTTACACAAATGACTTCCTTGAAGCTTTTAAGACCTTTCAGAAGGCCTCCCCGAAGCAACTGGGTGATGATGACCACCAACAATATCAAAGCATCCAGGCCCAGCAAGGACTGAACACTAGTTTTTCTGAATCTACTTTTTTCTAATAAGGTGAAAATCTTTCTCCAAGCCCCCAAAATCAGCCCCTTCAGGTTACTTTGAAGGTAAACTGAGCTCTGAATAAATTCCCTTTTAGAACTTGGAGGAAGCTGAAATAACCAGGCTAGAAGGTCCAACAAAGCTGGAGGGCCTAAAACAAAGTTTACCACAATTATCTTTGAGGTATAGTTCTTATCTTCTTTTTAGCTTATTCTAATTTTTAGAATATTCAGTTCTTGGATGAGCTTTTCTACTGTCTGTTTTAAAGTATCAATTTTCCCTGCCATTCTTTCCTCCCCAGCTATTCCATTTTATATTTCTGGTTTCCTTTCGTCCAGGTACTCTTGTAGTCCTTGTGGCCTGGATAGATTTTTTTCCTCCTGGAAACTGGACTATTTTTGAGCTTCCTTTTTATCATGGTGTTTACTGCCGGGGTGTCTTTCAGTTCAAGCTATTTCTTCATGTTTCTCTGTTTTTCCTTTGGTTTGTTCTTTTCAACAGCCTCAGTGTCTATGTTGGGTGGCCTGTGCCTAGGTCAGACTATATTCCCGTACTTCTAAACAGAGTAGACTAGACAGGTAATGTGGTGGCTAAGACTAAGAAAGCCCTTCCTTCAAGGGATTCCTTAGGTGTTCAGTTACTAGGCTCTGCCTCAATCTTCCCTCTTAACATAGGGCTCCTGTTGTGTCCCCTGTACTAGGTTTTGCCAGGGCCCCTTCCCTGATCTTGATGGGATACAACTCTACGGCAACCACTCTCATGCTGGGCTCTAGCCTCAGGTTTATGGTCTTTACATACAGCCTGCCACTGGGCTTAGATCTATTCTCTCATCTGCTTCCATTAAAACCACCATCCCTCCAGCCCTACGTCTGACCTCTCCTGGTGCCCTGAAACTGTTTTCAACCAGTTTGCCTTGTTTCAAAGTTCCTATAGAATTCCAGTGGTTCGTCCATTCACTCCTGGGCCGTGTGAAATTAAGGGGGGTGATTTCTCCTTATTTTGCCAGTTAATGGGGCATTTTAAGATTTATTAGGGTGGTTGAGGAGAATTCGGGCTCCCCTAAATCCTAGCACAATGACATCTTCCTCTGATCACTTTTTCTTATACTTTATTTCTCTTGCATTAATCTTCTCTCTTTAGTTGAAATTTATTTTGCCTGTGACTAATCCCTTTCCAACCTGGCCTTCTCTCTTAAACTTCCTTCTCCCAGAGACTTCCTATTTTCCTGTTCAATTTATTTCTATACCAAGATGTGTGTATCTCAGTGTGTTCAACTCTCCTTTACCCAGATCAGAAGGGTGAGGTCCACCCTATCTCCAGGTTGGTATTCTCTTCTTCTGGCCTATTACTATCATGGAAAGCAGTAAGTCCCTTTCCCTTCTAATTCATTTCTTCCCTATTCTATTTTCCCTTTCTTTTCCTAAAACCAAAGAAATTTTACAAAAACTCCCCTAGATACTACATTTGCCTTTGTGACTCTCAGAGACAGTGGGAATTTTTATTAATATAAACTCTTGATTATCAAGAGCCTCTCCCAAATGTTGAAATGTGTTTTCAAGGTTTATGTGTCTCCTGTGTTTTAATTTCAGAGTTTCTACCCTATAGAAAAGTTTGATCAGGAATGCCTGCAGGGGCAGCTAGATGGTGCAGTGGATAGAGCACTGGCCCTGGAGTCAGAAGGACCTGAATTCAAACCTGGCCTCAGACACATGATACTCACTAGCTGTGTGACCCTGGGCAGGTCATTTAACCCTGACTGCCTAACAACAACAACAAAAAAAGTGATGGAGAGCAAGAATGCTTGAAAGCCCTCTATTCTTTTAAAGATCCCTTCCCCCTTTAGAATTATGCACTGTTTTGAAGGATAAATACTCCAAAATACTCTTCTTCAAACTTTGAAGCATAGTCTTAAGATCGATCCTGACAGGTCCCTTGGTACTAGAACTCATTCTTTCTGGCTGTTTGCAGTACTTTTCTTTTCTTTAAAAAATGTTTCATATTGTTAACTTAAAAACAAAGTAGAACATAAAAAAGAGGATTTCATAAGAAACAGTGAATCTCTACTTCTGTTTGTTTTCTTTTTAATATATGCTAAATTTTACTCATTATTTTCAAAATTATCTTGCTTGTCTATGCTCTCTTTGGAACTACTTTCTGTTCTCTGTGCATTTTAAAAAATGTTTCTTGGTCTTTTTCCTCCTTTATAAATTGATATTGGCATTGTGGCACTCCCATTCCTAAAACCCACTTCCCCAAAAGAAAATGGAAAAAAACCTGCAACAAATAAACAGTTAAAAAAAATGAATCCACATAGTGCTGTGTCCAGACAGTCTCCTCCCACACTTTCTTGAGTTCATCAACTCTCCATTAGTAACACACTTCCTCATAGATCCCCTGGAAATGTGGTTAGTTATTGCTTTGATCAGAGTTTTTTAAGTTTTCCAATGTTGTTTTTTTTTACAATGTTTTTGTTGTATAATTATTCTCCTGATTCTGCACACTTCATATTGCATCAGTTCTTGCTTCCTAGGATTCTCTGAAATCACCTCTTTTGTCATTTAAGATACAATATCCATTCATATACCACAATTTATCTAACCATTCCCCAGGTGATAGGCACCCCTTCAAGTAGCCAGTTCTTTCTTTTCCCTTCCCTCCTCTGCCTTTCCCTCCCTCCTACTCTCAGGATCATGAAGTTTGTTTTGCTTGTTACTATTCCCTCCCTATATTATCCTCGCTCAGCCCCTCTTCTCTAATCCCACATATTTTCCTGCTG